ATACAGTGCCTTGCAAAAGTGTTCAAACCCCTTAATTTTTTTTTACGTTATGTTGCCGCCTTATGTTAAACTGCTTTAAATAACTTTTTTTCCACATCAATCTACACTCTATACACCATAATGGCGAAGCAAAAACAGAACTGTCACAACTTTTTAAATTTATTAAAAAAAATTTAAAAAAACTGAAATAAGTACATTGCATAAGTATTCAAACCTTTCACTCAGTACTTAGCTGAAGCACCTTTACAGCCTCAAGTATTTTTGGGTATGATGCGACAAGCTTTGCTCGTCAGCATTTGGCAATTATCTGCCATTCTTCTCCTCACCTCTTCACCTCTCAAGCTCTGTCAGGTTGGATGGGGGCAAATGCACATTTTCAGGTTTCTCCAGAAATATTTGACTGGGTTCAATCTAGGGATGCACTGATACCACTTTTTCCAGTACTCGCCCAATACGATACTTTTATTTTTTGTACTTGCCGATACCGAGTACCGATACCGATACCGATATTTTTATTGCATTTGTACATTTTTTAAATATTGGGTACAGAAACCAAAAGAGGATGTATATTGTTAGTTGGTTAATTTCATTTATCAAATAGACACAGTCAAACCAAAATTTATTCAGACAACTTCAACTTTTCTCACATTATCACAGTTTATTCGCTATAGTTTAGAAAATAATAATAAAATATGACAAAAATTCAGAGTTAAACTGTGTCAGAACATATTCATCTTGATAATGCTAGATAACGTTGATAGAAAGGTATGTAATGGATTACAATCAACCAAAAATTATTCAGACAGCTGTTAGTATGACAATATTTACACAACTATCAATACTTAGTCGGGCAACCTTTAGCCTTAATGACAGCCTGTAGTCTCCTGAGTTTTCTGAACTCTTTCTTTTTGCTCTGATATGCATTATCAGCTGTTTTTAAGCTGATAATGCATATCAACCTTTTATTAAGACGTGTGTGCCGTTCCAAATCATACCCATTCAACTGAATTTGCCACAGGTTAACTTCACTCAAAGTGTAGCAACATCTACAAACAATATGAATGCTCCTGAGATAAATTTAAACTGTCCCAGATATGAATATTTATGCAATGGAATCGTTTAAGTTTTTTTATTTTTTAATAAATTTTCAAAGATGTTAAAAACCTGTTTTTTGATTTACAATGGAGTGTAGATTGATGTGGAAAAAAGTAATTTAAAGCAGTTTAACATAACGCAGCAACATAAAAAAACGTGAAAAAAATGAAGGGGTATTAATACTTTCGCAAGGCACTATATATATACATATATTGTTTTATGCTTTTTCATGGACCCATACAATGAAAACCTATGAAAACAATGAAAATCAATTATACAGAATATTTTTTATAAAAATAATGTAATCTTACAATTTATTTTCGTTATTTGTTGTTTGAAGTTTATTTTTATGACTGTTCTACAGAATCTTTTTATTCTGATTAATTTCTAGTCAAGCTGTAGTTTCAAGCTGTAAATGTAATGTCAAAATATTCAAAAAGTGTGAAAATATTATTTGATGCACAAAAAGTGAAATTAGCCTTAGCAAGATTAAGGATTTGGCCAATTTATTCTAAAAATGTTAAAAATATAATTTCTGCCACTGTCAATTCCATTACTGAATGCTGTTAAATACAACATTTCAGTTGATATGTAGTAAAAATGACACAGCAGTGAAAATTTAGAAAAAAGTAGTATATATTTGTATACATACAGAATTCTGTTATATTTAAATAACTTAATACTTTTATGCAGCATGATTGCATTAAAATTAGTGATGCACGATATTGGATTTTTGCCGATATCTGATATGCCGATAATTTTCAACTCATTTTGGCCGAGAGCCGATATGATATATAATTATTTTTAATTTTGGTTAGTTTTTAACAATGACTTATTTGATAGAATTAAAGGGATTGACTTTGATTCTTCAGTAGATCACAAACGGAGATTTTTAACTCAAACCGTTGCAGTCTGTCAGTCCTATAATGTAAGTGGACGGGAATCACGGATTTGAGATTCATAAAACATACACAAACAAAACCAAATTAAACCCTGCGGCTCGTGATGATACATTGATGTGTAAAGACACAAAACGATCGGTCTGTGCAAGAAACTGAACAGTATTTATATCGTTTTTTACCGCTGATTTTCACCGCAATGTCTGAACTGTCCTGAGCGACCTTCGCGTCTTCTTCTTCAGCCACCTATCTCTCAAATGGGCCATTGACACTCTATCTACAATCTCAATTAGGAGTGTCAATGGCCGGTAATGCACTTATAAGTCTGTGATCCGCCATAAAGCAAAGCTGTGATTCCCATTCACTTCCATTATAAGACTGACAGACTGCAACAGTTTGAGCGAGGGTGTAACTTTGGTTTGAGAAGTGGGGATGTATAAGAAAAATATGTCTTACTTTCTTTATTGTTTAATCGGGGCCGATCGCCAAGACTTGAGAGAATCATTTTATAAAGTCGAAAATGTTCACCATTAATGTTTTGAATAATGTTTAAATAATGTGAGACTCAATTTCCACTGTTAAACAAACTTTTATTTCAAACTAACCGCTGTACCTGAAAATATAAAATAAATCACTTGTTGCACAGGACAGAATGTTCTACATCAGTGGTTCCCAGACTTCTTAGAGTGGAGTACCCCCTGAGGCATTTCTGCGTACCCCCTCTCTTCCACTTATTATTAATTAGACTGCACTTTTTCCATTAAAGGACGATACTTGCCCCCTAAATTGACTTTCCAATGCATTTTTTATCTTTATAAATAGAATATTGATGTTTAAAAAAACAAAGGTATTCAATAGATTAATATGCAATGATGATAAAAAAGTGAAAAGTGATTCTTTTAAATACTAAAA